AAAAAAAAAAAAAAAAAAAAAAAAAAAAAAAAAAAAAAAAAGAAGGAAGCACAGCAAACCAGAAGAGGCGAACATGTAAAAAAAATTATATATATCTATATATTTAAATATATTTTTATCTATTTACAACATAGCTGGGACACCCAAGGAGGGTTTGCAGCCAGCGTGTCACAAAGGGGCTGGAATTGAATTTTTGTAAAATTTGGATTTTTTTTGTTGTGATATTGGTGTTAATTTGGGGGGTTTTGTTGTGATATTGGTGTTAATTTTGGGGTTTTGTTTGGTTTTTTTTTTTTCCCAGGCTTCAGACAAAGAAAACACAAGGGAAAAAAATGGGGAAAAAAAATGGGGAAAAAATAAATTCAAGTTTGGATGCTCTTTCCAGGTCTGGGATCACTTTCCAGATCTGAAATCACTCTTTCTAAATCTGTGATCAGTATTTCAAGATCTGGGATCACTCTTTCCAGAGCTGGGATCACATTTTCCAGAGCTGGGATCTCATTTTCCAAATCTGGGATCATATTTTCCAAGTCTGGGGTCACTCCTGTGAGATCTGGGATCACTCCTGTGATATTTGGGATCACTCCTGTGGGATCTGGGATCACTCCTGTGATATTTGGGATCATTTCTGTGGGATCTGGGATCACTCCTGTGATATTTGGGATCACTCCTGTGGGATCTGGGATCACTCCTGTGATATTTGGGATCACTCCTGTGATATTTGGGATCACTCCTGTGGGATCTGGGATCACTCCTGTGAGATTTGGGATCACTCCTGTGATATTTGGGATCACTCCTGTGGGATCTGGGATCACTCCTGTGATATTTGGGATCATTCCTGTGGGATCTGGGGTCACTCCTGTGACCCCAACCCCTGAAGTCCCATCCCACACCTCAGCCCTGCCCCTCCTGGGTTTCTCCCAGTGGGATGCAGAGCTCCAGCGGGAGCCAGGATGGTCCCAAACAGCACCAAAATTAAGGCAAATCCCCTGGGCGAGGAAGGACCAACCCAACCCTGCTCCCCACTCATCTTCGGGGCGTGTTTGCTGGAAAATCCAACACCCACATGGATTCCGGTGCTCCCACCCCCACGGCACAGTGAAATCCCATCCATTTAGCCAAAGGAAAAACCCCAAAAATCGAGACAAAAAGAGGGCAGCCCCCAGGTGAGAGGGCAGCTACCCTGCCAGCTTGCTGGTGAGCAGCGAGGATTTCCTCCGGGGCAGGTCCTGGGGCGTGGGGATGTGGGCTCCCGTCACCAGGTCCTGGCCAGGCCCCGCACTCGGCACCTGCTTGGCCTTCACCTTGGCCTTGGCCATGTTGTAGTCGCCAGAATCGAAATATTTCTGCTGCAGGAGGGAGAAATGTTTGCGTTGGTGAGGGAGCAGGGGAAGGGCAGGGGCACGAGGAGACTTGGGGAGGGGGAAGTTGGGAATTGGGGCTGGGATTGGGTGTGCGGAATTTAGGATTGGGAGTGCAGGAGCAGGAATTGGGATTTGGGATTGGGTGTGCAGGATTTGGGATTGGGTGTGCAGGAGCAGGGAATGGGATTGGGAGTGCAGGATTTGGGATTGGGAGTGCAGGAGCAGGAATTGGGATTTGGGATTGGGTGTGCAGGATTTGGGATTGGGATTGGGAGTGCAGGATTTGGGATTGGGTGTGCAGGATTTGGGATTGGGTGTTTAGAAGCAGGGAATGGGATTGGGTGTGCAGGATTTGGGATTGGGTGTGCAGGAGCAGGAATTGGGATTGGGATTGGGTGAGCAGGAGAGGGGGAATGGTAGAGCCAGGAGGAGCCTTTGGGGAGGGGGAAATTGGGAATTGGGATTGGGTGTGCAGGATTTGGGATTGGGATTGGGTGTGCAGGATTTGAGATTGGGAGTGCAGGATTTGGGATTGTGTGAGCAGGATTTGGGACTGGGATTGGGAATGCAGGATTTGGGATTGGGAGTGCAGGATTTGGGATTGGGATTGGGTGTGCAGGATTTGGGATTGGGATTGGGAGTGCAGGATTTGGGATTGGGTGTGCAGGATTTGGGATTGGGATTGAGAGTGCAGGATTTGGGATTGGGAGTGCAGGAGCAGGAATTGGGATTGAAATTGAGTGTGCAGGATTTGAGACTGGGATTGGGTGTGCAGGATTTGGGATTGAGATTGAGTGTGCAGGATTTGAGATTGGGATTGGGTGTGCAGGATTTGGGATTGGGAGTGCAGGATTTGGGATTGAGAGTGCAGGATTTGGGATTGAGAGTGCAGGATTTGGGACTGGGATTGGGTGTGCAGGATTTGGGATTGGGATTGGGAGTGCAGGATTTGGGACTGGGATTGGGAGTGCAGGATTTGGGATTGGGATTGGGATTGGGAGTGCAGGATTTGGGATTGGGATTGGGAGTGCAGGATTTGGGATTGGGTGTTTAGGAGCAGGGATTGGGTATTTAGGAGCAGGGTTTTCCCCCCAGGATTCCCAGTTTTTCTGTTTTTTTTTCCCATTTCCCCCCCCATTTTTTCCCCTCAGGTTTCCCATTTTACCCTATTTTTTCCCCATTACTTCCCCTATTTTTTCCCCATTATTTCCCCTTTTTTTTTCTCCATTTTTTCCCCAGTTTTCCCCCATTTTCCCCCCATTTTTTCCCATTCCCCCCCCCCATTTTTTTCCCATTTCCCCCAATTTTTTTTCCGTTTTTCCCCCAATTTTCCCCCTTTTTTGGGGACACTCACCCCTTTCTGCAGCCTCCTCATGAGGAACTCTGCCCCTCCCGGCCTCAGCCCCAGCCCGGGGTATTTCCCCTTGGGCTCGGCCCCGGGCTCCGGCTGGGCAGCCTGCAGAGAAATTAAAAATTATTTCTTAAATTTACATTATTCGTTACATAATTCATTGAATTAAAATGTGTTTGTTAAAAAAAAAAGTGTTTATTGACTAAAATTTACATTATTTGTTACATGATTAATTCGCATTTATGTATATTAAATAAAAATTTATTTATTGAATAAAATTTCCATAATTTGTTAAATTATTAATTTGGAATTGAAATTTATTTATTAAATAAAAATTTATTAAATGCAATTTACATTTTGTTGAATGATTAATTCAATTAAATTTTACTTATTAAATAAGATTTACATTACTTGTTACATTATTAATTTGAATTGAAATTTATTTATTAAATACAATTTATTAAATGAAATTTACATTGTTACATTAGTAATTATTTATTGAATGACATTTATATTGCATTAATCAATTAAAATGTATTTGTCGAAGAACATTTACATTATTTGTTACATTATTAATTTGCATTTGCATCGGATAATTTAAAAAAATTATTTAGTAAATAAAATTTACATTTTGTTGAATGATTAATTCAATTAAATTTTACTTATTAAATCAAATTTACATTTTACATCCCGGTCCCATCATCCCTCCCCTCCGACCCCAAGCAGGAAGTCCCGCCCACCCCAACCCCCGTAGCCAATCAACGCCCGGTATTCGCCAGACGGACAACAGAAACAGCCAATCGCCGCTTAGGACTGGAAAGAGGGACGTGCAGCCGACCCGCCCGGCATCTCCTTCCTCCCCCGGGGGTTCCCCCACCTGTTTGTCCCGCCCGGTCTCCTCCGTGAAGGCGCCGGTACCGAGCGGCGCTGCCATGGCGGCGGGGGAGGCTCCGCGCTCCCTCCGCTGCGTCCGGCCCCGCGCCCTGCTCCAAAATGGCCGCCACCGCCTCCACCGCCTCCGCTGTGTGAGTGACAGCAACTCTGCCCAATGAACGCAGAGCTTCGGCCGCGGTGACATCACACCTGGCCAATCAGTGAGCGAGGAAGGCGGGGCATTGAGAGGGGGCGGTGGAGGGGGAGGACGGGGCATGAATGACTGGCACGAGCATCGGCCAATAGAAAGCGCGAACCAGCGAGTGGGCGGGGAAAGGGGCGTGGCTTTCGCGGTACCGGAGCTCCGCGGGTTCGAGACCGGCGCGGGGAGGGTGCGGGACCGGGAGATGCGGGGGACACCGGAGAGCCCCGAAACCACCGCGGGAAGGGAAAGGGGCACGGGGGGAGGAGGGACTCACGGTACCGGGACACCCCCGGGACACCCCGCCCCTGCCGAGCCCCACTGAAACACGGACAGAATGGAAATCATTGGAGTTTTACGTGAGCTCCAGAACGAAGGCGGGGAGGAGGGAGGGAGGGCTGTGCACAAAGATCACCTCGCTTCCATGGATTCCTCCGAGGAGAAGCGGCCGAGGCGCGCGGGCACAGCCCGCGGAGCTCCTGCCCGGAGCAGCTCCGGGTGCCAGGGCTGGGGGTGGCCCAACAGCCCCAGAGCCACCCCAGGGGGCACCTCCAGAGCTGCCAGCCCTACCTGGGGAGGGGAAAAGCAAAATCCCCATGTCCCTCCCCAGGCTGAGCCCAGCCAGCGCCCCAGGAGCTCCGTGGGGAGAGCCTGGGGTGGGACACCATGATGGGACCCATCAAGGATCTCCCCCACTTCATGTGAGAAGTTTAGGAGTTATTGGAGGCCACCAGCACGGCCCAGATCATCTCCATGGCCCTGCCTGTGGCAACTTCCACCTCAGGGTCCTTCTGGGGAGATGCTGTGGTGGGACACCATGATGGGACCCATCAAGGATCTCCCCCACTTCATATGAGGAGTGTTTAGAACTTATTGGAGGCCACCAGCACGGCCCAGATCATCTCCATGGCCCTGCCTGTGGCAGCTTCCACCTCCAAGTTCTTCTGGGCTGGGACATCATGATGGGACAACCAAGGATCTCCCCATCTCCACGTGAGATGTTTAGAACTTATTGAAGGCCACCAGCACAGCCGAGATCATCTCCATGGCCCTGCCTGTGGCAGCTTCCACCTCAGGGTCCTTCTGGGGAGAGGGGTCCCCTTGATAGGACCTCATGTGGGGTGTGGTGTCCCCTTGATGGGACCCACCAAGGATCTCCCCCACTTCATGTGAGGAGTGTTTAGAACTTATTGAAGGCCACCAGCACGGCCCAGATCATCTCTATGGCCCTGCCTGTGGCAGCTTCCACCTCAAAGTTCTTCTGGGGTGGGACACCATGATGGGACCCATCAAGGATCTCCCCCACCCCACGTGAGGAGAAGTTTAGGACTTATTGAAGGCCACCAGCACGGCCCAGAACATCTCCGTGCCCTTGCCTGTGGCAGCTTCCACCTCAAAGTTCTTCTGGGGGAGATCCTGTGGTGGGTCACCATGATGGGACCCACCAAAGATCTCCCCCACCCCACGTGAGGAGAAGTTTAGGACTTATTGAAGGCCGCCAGCACGGCCCAGATCATCTCGGTGCCCTTGCCTTTGGCAGCTTCCACCTCAGGGTCCATGTCCAGCAGGTCCTTGGTCCTGTTCATGGCCACGTCGTACTTGTCGTCGGCCAGGCTGCCAAAAACATTCTCCAGCACGTCGGAGGCGTGGGCCAGCACCAGCAGGGCCAGGGTCCTGCGCTCCATGCGCTGGGGCTCGTTGACCCAACGCTCCAGGACGCTCTCCTGGAGCTTCTTCAGCAGCCGCTGCTTCTCGTTGGCGTTGCTGACCGGGTGGGTGGTCATGTCGAAGAGGAGGAAGTTCTGCTTCTCCGTGGTCAGGATGCCCTTCTCCACCAGAGCCTTGGCCAGGCGCTCCCGCACGTTGCGCAGCTGGTACTGCAGCTTGAAGGGGTTCCAGGTCTCTCCTGAGGGGTGGGAGGCTCTGGTCAACGTTTGTTGGGCAACCTCAATGTTCTTCCATCTTCCCCGTGATGTCCTGCATGGACACCTTGCTCTGCCACCGGAGCTCTGAGGGCCAAGATTTCCACCGAGCTCCCAGCAGAAGAACAACCCCAGGAAATTCTTCTCTGACCACATATTCTGCCTTTCCTTGCTCTCCCCATCTCCTGGGATCTCCATGGACCTCCAGGGCTCCCATCCTTCCACCCTTCCATGATGTCCAGCATGGACACCTTGGTCTGACAAAGCTCCCGGTGGAGTTTTGAGGAGAAAAATCCCCACCAAATTGGGCAAATCCCATCCCTTTCCAAAGCCTCTTCTACCCATGGATCACCCCAGGCTTGGTGAAACCTCAGGAGGAACCAAAGGAGAACGAGGTCCAAGATTTCCCAGAAGAACACCCAGGAAATTCTTCTCTGCCCACATATTCTGCCTTTCCTTGCTCTCCCCATCTCCATGGATCTCCAGGGATCTCCAGGGCTTCCACCCTTCCATGATGTCCTGCATGGACACCTGGCTCTGATCCCTTGGTCTGACTCAGACTCTCCTGGAGAAGCTCCCAGTGGACTTTTGAGGAGAAATCCCAGACAAATCCCATCCCTTTCCAAAGCCTCTTCCACCCACAGATCACCCCAGGCTTGGTGAGACCTCAGCATTTGGATCCTCCAAAATGCTTCCCTCAAAATCCTCTTGAAGATCTGGAAATCTTCCCCTGGAGCCCCAAGTCCTACCTGGGACCACCAAAATCCTTCCCAGGAGACCAAATCCTACCTGAGATCCCCCAAAATCCTTCCCAGGAGACCCAAATCCAAGCTGGGACCACCAAAATCCTTCCCAGGAGTCCCAAATCTTACTGGGGATCCCCAAAACCCTTCCTCCTTTTTTTGGGGTTCCCCCACCACCAGATCCTGGAACTCTGGATGATCCTGGATGGATTTTGGTGGTTCTGGGGAAGGTTTGGACAGGCCTGGAGGGGGATTTGAAGGTCCAGGTTGGTTTTGGGGCTCCCCCACCACCAGATCCTGGAGCTCTGGATGATCCTGGATGGATTTTGGTGGGTATGGGGAAGGTTTGTATGGACCTGGAGGGGAATTTGAGGTTCCAGGCTGGTTTTGGGGCTCCCTCATGAGATCCTGGACGGATTTTGGTGGGATTTGAAGGTCCAGGCTGGTTTTGGGGCTCCCTCATGAGATCATGGACGGGTTTTGGTGGGATTTGAGGTTCCAGGCTGGTTTTGGGGCTCCCTGATGAGATCCTGGATGGGTTTTGGTGGGTCTGGGGGAGGTTTGGACGGGCTTGGAGAGGGATTTTGGTGGGATTTGAGGTTCCAGGCTGGTTTTGGGGCTCCCCCAGGAGCTCCTGGACGGATTTTGGTGGGATTTGAGGTTCCAGGCTGGTTTTGGGGCTCCCTGATGAGCTCCTGGACGGATTTTGGTGGGATTTGAGGT